TTCATCAACACCATAATCAAAATGCATCAATTATTTTTTGATCTTCCATGTTCATTGTCCAACTTTTGCATGCACATGAGACAATTGAAAATACTATGACTTGAATCAGATGCACCTTAGTCTTCAAAGTGATATCTTTGTTCTTAAACACTTTAAAGAAATCGTGTGCTGCAGATTTGCCAAGTGAAATGTGTCTTTTGATTTTGTGACTGTTTCTTCCATGAGCATTGATTGTAGATACAAATAAAAGGTGTTATTATTAAGTGCTGTTGAGTCAGTTCTGACTCATAGTGACCCTGTGTAGGGTTTCCAAGGAGTGATTGATGGTTTTGAATCACCAACCTTGCAGTTAGCAGTCCAGTGTTTATCCTACAGCACCACATCAGGACTCCTAAAAAGTAAATACTTATGCACAAATATCCTCTGTCCAACTTTTATATATTTATGAGTGCATTCCCTCTCTCCATCCAACACTTCTTCAGCCTGTATTTCTATTCATGCATGTTATCATAGATCACCATCATAGCAGAATTAGTATTTACCTCTATTGCCTTTAACTCTTGCACTCCTTCCAGTGTCTTCCCTTGCCTCCATAATTTTTTTTTTGCCAATGTCCCTCTTATAGTATATTGCTTTTGCCTTTGTCCAAGTTAACACATGCCAAGTTTTTCCTATCGTATGTGGGTTCTCTTTTGACTCTTTTGGTGAATCTACTGATGCATGTAAGTGTTTAACTTTTATGAGGTTCAAGTCATCTAGATTGTCTTCTGTTGTTTGTATGTTTTCAACTATGCTTGATAGTATATTTATGACATGTATTGTTGTTGTTGTTGTTGTTGTTGTTGTTAGGTGCCATCGAGTTGGTACCGACTCATAGCAACTCTATGCACAGCAGAATGAAACACTGCCTGATCCTGAGCCAACCTCAACACTGTTACCATGCTTGAGTCCATCAATGCTGCCACATGGCCAATCCATCTCTTTGGGGGTCTTCCTCTTTTTCTCTGACCCTTCACCTTACCAAACATGATATCCTTCTTCAGCGACTGGTCCCTCATGACTTGTATTAGGGTTCCTAAATTTGTCCCTATTTTTAAATTGATGACCTTTATAGTTCTTGGTTTTATACTTAGGTATTGATACATAGTTATTAATTTTTTTATATAGTGTGATATATGGATCCTGTTTAATTTTTTTGCAAATGGATATCCAATTTTGCCAGTATAGGATATACATATACATACTTGTATTTAATATAAGTTTCTTATTTGCCTATATTTGGAGTCTTGGTGTGATGCTGTGGATTAATGTGCTGAACCACAAAGTCGGTTTGAACTGCAAATCCAGTGGTTAAAACTCACCAGCTATCCTTCAGAAACCCTTTAGAGGGATGCTATGGGTCAGAACTGACTCAATGGCACTTAACAGGAATCAACATTTTTGGGCCATGTTTTTCTTCCATTCTGACTATATATGTGTATATATACATATGCACACATATACATATATACACACACACACACGCACACACATATACACACACACACATACATTTAATGCCATTCATATGTTTACATTTAGATTGACTTATTTGGAGTACTAGTTGTGGCCCCATAAGATAATCACTTGACCTCAAGTTCAGTTTGAATCATAAGGTCAGTAGTTCAAACTAACCAGATGCTCCTTGGAAATCCTATACAGGGTTGCTATGAGTTGGAACTGACTCAATGGTACTTAACAGAAGCAACATTTCTTATTTGCTTTCTTTTTGTTCCTTCTGCTTTTGTTGTTGTTGTTGTTCTTGTTCCAGTTCTTTCCTGACTTCTTTTATACCATTTGAATTTTAAATTTATAATTATATATATATATATATATATATATATAAAACAAAACATGTGTCATTCCAACATTTTTTTACATATATGATTTATTAACATCAATTATTCGATTATGTTCTTGGCTATATCTGTATGTTTTTGCTTATCCTAGGGATTATGATAGACATACATTTTACAGTTTACCTGGAATCAATATTTTACCACTTTTAGTGGAATACAGAAACATTACTTCCATATTGGTTCTTTTATCCTGTGATACATAAAGCAGGATATTGTAACATATGTTGCAATATATTACATATGTTGCATAGGTTATAGCTACAGTCATTGAAAACCCCATCAGAAAATGTTATGATTTTTGTTTTGAACTCTCAAACACATTTTAAGAACTCAAGAGGAGAATAGTATTAATGTTACATTAAGTGTCTCTGAATTTCAGTTTCCCACAGTGGGCTCCCTCATGTTTCTTTCTGCAGCCCTTCTCCTGCCTCCCATATCAGTAATCTCAACTTTCTCATTGCCCTGAGACAGGCCTTATTTTGGATTGTGCTTAATCTCCAGGGCCTTTTTCTTGGAGTTATTAAAGGTGTGATTTTTGCTTGAGAAAATCACCAAACATATCAAAGGGATTTCCTTTTTCCTTTGGAGGCAAATGTATAGGATCAAACACAAGTGTTTTCAGCTCACTTCATATGGTTTTATACAATATATTTTCCTTAGAGTATGCTTGAACTGAAAATCAATCAGGTCCTGGGAAGAAGAAAGTGGGGAAGTAGTGTTATTGGCATACCTTGTTCTCATATATATGAACACTGCTATAAATACTTTCTTGTGCAGCTCTGAGTGTTATAACCTTTCTTGCCTCAGAAACATCTTCCTCTCTGTTTATACACACATCTATTTCATTATGCAACAATGCAAGTGCTATGTATATTTTCTCCTAGCCTCTTAGCTAGTACAGTGTATGCACAACACATGAACACTAACTGGAGTGACCAGACAATTTATTATGTAAAAAACCTAAAAACAAAACATAAACAGGAAACCTTTTTATTGTGACTTGAATGAGGTTTACAGAGCAGATCGTCAGTTTCACTTTCAACCAATCACATTTAGTTTCATTTCATTCATAGTCCCCTCAATGTATCATCACTTATCCCACTTCCTCCCTGTGTCTCTTGTTTCCATTCCTCCTTCTTTCCCCATCCTTCTGAGTTTTGTCCTTAGGTAAATGGTGTCCTTTTGATCTCAACTGGTTGACCGTTCTATGATATGTTTTCCCCGTTACGTACCTATTACTTGTCTGAAAATTGAGCCATGGAGTAAGTTCAGTTGAAGATCTGAAGGGTGGTGAAGGGCACAGTATTGGGATAACACTAGTCTCTGACCAGTAAACCTGGTCTTTTATATGAGTTTGACTTTTGTTCTACGTTTTTCTCTCACTCTACCCAGGACCTTCTAATGTGGTCCCTTTCAGTGCAGTTGGTAGGGGTAGCCAGGTACCATCTAGTTTTTCTGGTCTCAGGGTCATGGAGACTGATGTTTGTGTATTCCATTAGTTTATTGGACTAATTGATTCCAAGCCACTTCAATTTTCATCACTCTATTTTCTTCACACATGGAGAGACCAATAGTTGCACTATAGATGACCACTCATGTGCTTTTAAGGTCCCAGCTGCTACTCAGCAAAGTAAGATGTAGAACGTTATCTTTGTGGACTATGTTATGCCAGTTGACCATGTTGTCCCCTGAGACTGAGGTGACCAGCATACTTTTGAAAGTGGAAGGAAAGGAACACCAGTATTGCCAAGAGTTGGATCTCACTAAATGTATCCTGGTATGGTAGGATTAACACTGGGCTGCTAGCCACAAGATCAGTGGTTCAAACCCACCAGTTGTTCCTTGGTTACCCTATACAGGGTCACTATGAGTTGGAACTGACTCAAAGGCACTCAACAACAACAAAAACAAAGTGGATTATAAAACACACTGCAGCTGGGGAGAATGATCAGCAATGATTTGAAACCACAGCTGGGAGAAACCAGTAGTGACAGTCTTGACCCCAGAGGAATAAAGAGTCATTCCCAAGGATGAAATAATTCAGTCATTCAGAACCTTGTCCCTGCGTTAAACAAAGTTTGTTTGAGTACAAGCTCTGTTCATATTTACAACAACTTTGAAGGGAAGGTGTTATTATTCTCACATCAGAAATAAGATAGGATGCTTAGAGAGTGAATTGAAAAATATCCAAGATTTACCCAGCTAGAATTTGGCAGAGCGGACACTAGGACTTTGGTCTATTTGACTCCAGACATCATGCGTGTTGTTGTTGTTAAGTGCCATTGAGTCTGTTCCAAATCATAGCATCCCTGTATAGGGGTTTTGAGGAGCAGCTGGTGGATTTGAACTGCTGACCCTTGTGGTTTGCAGTTCAGTGCTGATCCTACAGTGCTAGAGGCCAAATAATCCAGAGGAATGAACACAAACTTTGATGGCAATGAGTCAAGGTTAAAATCCCAGTTCTAGTACTCTACCAGCCACAGTGCAATTGTGAGAGCCGTAGCTTATGTTTTTGAAGAGCTTGCCATATGCCCTACTCTGAGCTACATGTTTTCCCTATGTTATCTCATTCACACTTGACGATCACCCTATCATGAGATGCTATTAGAAATCACATTTTGCAAGTAGGGAAATAGTATATGGAGACAATCTGGAAAGTGCCATTGCACGGGATGCACACACCAAGTATTAGTGCTTCTTTTCTCCTGACCACAGGTCAGAACACTGGGTAGGTCTTGAACCATTGTGTGCTTCATAATATCGTTCTGGAAGGATTTAGAAGGTGGCCACTTATCCTAATGAATATGCCCACTTTTCCAGTTTTTCTAAAGGCTCAAAGATTGCTTACTATATATGTGTATTAATTTTTTTCCCCCAGGTCAAAATCTCTCCCACCCGCTCAATCTTTTCCCTCATTCTTAACACGGTTTTGTCCCGTGCAGTGGTTGTGGCCATGCATGAGAAACAGCAGGTGGTGCCAGATGACAGATGGTGTGGGAGCCCATTCCTCGGTGGGAGGGGGCGCGAGCAAAGGAGCAGGCAGGCAGCTGCCAGGAGCTCTTCCCTGCTCGCGCCTCTCTCAGAAGCTCCCAATCCAGACACACGCGAGGCGCTGTCCTTTCAGCACCACGAACTCGGGCTGAGGAGGGAGGACTTCGGGTCGTCCTCCTCCTTTTCAAATTGGCTTGAATCTGCTCTGACCCCCCCACCCCCCAAGAGTACCACACAGTAAGTAGGCATTTGTTTTTTGTTATTTTCATTCCACTCCCAACATTCTCCAGCCCCTCACCACCCCTTTCACCTCACAACAACGCTGTTTCGTCTAATAATGTTCTATCGGCAGGATTGACAAGAGAAATTCAGTTGTATGCTGGGCTTTTGGGCGTGGGGTGGGAGCCCTGTTTGACTTCCCAGGGAGCTGGAAAGGAATCGATGTGATTTGTTTATTTGGTTGGCAATCTTGTCGTATGAGGACTGCTAACTTTCGATGGAACCAGAAAAATATGGCCCTTTGCTATTGAGGAAATGGTGGCATTCCATAGTTGAATAATAAGACCAGGTTCAAGCCAACCAGCCTTAAAAATTTTTTTTTAGGAAACTGTATCTCATGAACAATTTGCCTGTTATATAAAAAGATCACTTATAGAGATATTTGACACATGTATTGTTGTTTTAGGGGGATTGCTCGGAAAAAAAAATCAATATAATAAAACAGCAATCAGAGTGGGGAGGTGAAATGGATCATACTGCAGGGTGACACAGAATAATGGATTTCATTTTGCACTAAGAATAAGCTTTTCCCTGAGATTATATGAAGACTTTAGCTGCAGTGTCTCAGATATTTTTTAAGCTTGTATTTTTAGCATATAGCTGGAATTTTCCTTGAGTATCCCAAATGTGAGGTTTGTTGAACCCCATGAGCAGGTGACATATTTTGATGATTAAAGAAGTTTCACTGGACAATAAACATCATGTCAGAAAGCCTAAAGGAAGACTGATAACTGATCTCTGGATTGAAAGGCACAGAAGTAGAGCCCTTGAGGATGTGCTGTTTTCTCTGTCACAAGCCCTCTCTTTCCTTGCCTTACCTCCCACTGTAACCAGAACCCCTGCTCGCCTTAGGTCTGGGAAGAAAGGCGCAAGGATGGTGAAGCTGAACAGCAACCCCAGCGAGAAGGGAACCAAGCCGCCTTCTGTGGAGGATGGCTTCCAGACCGTCCCCCTCATTACTCCCCTGGAGGTTAACCACTTGCAGCTGCCTGCTCCAGAAAAGGTAAAGCAGGCATTCTTCTGCTCATCCCCAAACTACCCCACCCAGGAAAATAAAACAGCAAGCCCTTTCTTCTCATCAGCTGAATATGCTCTCTTTCTTGTAAAATTGAGTCATTCTTCTCAGAGATACAATATCTCATGTGCTATTTCACATTGATGGTAAATGCTTATCATGCTTTTGTTGTTCACCTATCCATACAGGGACAAGAAAAGTCATCTTTCCTTTCTTGAGTTTTATCATAGCCGATGAATAAGCTTCTAGAAGGTGATAGAGAAAATCTGTCTTGCCTATTTGTGGGGAGGTGTTTCAGAAATTTATAGGTCTAGATTGAGAACAGAGAATAGGATTCAATCCGACAGCACTGAGTTTGTACTGCTAAGGTCCTGCCTCATGCTAGGAGTTGTTGATAAAAAGACAAATGGCAAAACCCCTAGCCAGTATAACTCTTAATTTAATACAGTACATCATGGCTATGCTATAGCTGAGGGTGACAGAGTTTGTGAGCCCACAGGGTGAAAGCAAAGAAATTCTTCCTTGTGGTGGAGGGACTGGGGAGGATTTACGTGAGGGAACTGAGCAGAGAGGTTAGGTAAGCTGCAGAGAAAGACTCTTTTGAGTTGGGTTTGTAAAGGTGAGTGGAAGTCTTACAGGTGGACATCGAAGGCAAAGGGCACAGATACACAAAGACACAGAGGTGTGGACAGCATTTGGGACACCGCAGGCTGGAGTAGCATGTCTTTGGAGGAGGCGTGGCTGGAAATGAATGACTGGCTGATGGCACATCTCCTGACATGGGAGTGGTCCATGAAGAATGGAGGTGGGCATTACACAAAGGCAGAAGGGAGGGTTCTCCCACAGACACAGGTGGGAAGCACATTATTGTTGAGCATCCCTCTGGGGTGATTTGGGGTTTTATGATGTATGCTTTTGCACACTGTCAGGAATGGACTTGGAGGCAAAGGATGGAGTTCCTTGTCTGGTGAGGGAACAATGGAGCAGTCCGTCTGTTTGATTTTCTAATTGGCATCTCCAGGAGGGCATTGTGTTCTTAACCAGTTGGCTCAGCCAATCAATAGTAAAGCAGTCAAAGCTAGATAAAGGACCTGGCTGATTGGCTGTGGGTTGAGTCATCTGTTTTGAAAGTACAGAGGTTGTCAATAGGATAACGTGTGTGTGTGTATGTGTGTGTGTGTGTGTATGTGTGTGTGTGTGAGAGAGAGAAATAAAGAACCCTTAAGTCATTCTGAGAAACTATAAGGTATTTGAAAAATAAATTTTGAATAAACAATCAGCAATAAAGAAATGGGAAGGGTAGAAGAAGGGACAGCATTGAGTACCTGCCACATGCTATAGGCTCTCTCTCTTTCGTTCTCTTCTTTGTGGATTGCATATTAGAATGACCTGGGGAACTTAAAAAAGCAAAAAGAACAAAACTCCAGACCATTTAGATCAGAATCTCAGGGAGTAGGACCCAGGCATTAGTATTAAGTCTTCTCAGGTTATTCCTATGTGTAGCCCAAGTTGAGAACCACTATGCTAAATGTTCATTACCCTTGGGAGTCAGGGATTATGCCCTCAGACTTATAGGTAAAAGGGCAAGGGATCAGAGAAGTTTGGTGAGTTATCCAAGTTCACAGAAGGAGTCAGTGTCAATGCTGAATTTTGAATCCAGCTTTAAGTGGCACATAGGGAGAGAGATGGGGGGCAGCTATTCTCTTCAGGTTTTGCAAGGCTCCAAAAGGAACGTTGACCCCTCAGTCTCCCAGATCTGCATGTCCCTGGCAGGTGTGCAGGGGGAAGAGAGTAGGGTGAGGTTATGTCTCCGCCTGGTCCCCCACACCCCTGAAGACTGTTCCCCCTACCTTCCTCATATGCCCCTCTAAGGGCTTCCTTTTTATCCTTGGGAGAGGAAAGAGGACTGATGACTCAGAGAGCTATCCCAAAGCCGATTGTTTTTGTTCAGTGACATATAGTCTGCTCTGATTCATATCAATCCTGTGTAGGGTTTGGGGGCTTCAAAACTTTTGAGGGAATAGAAATCTCATCTTTCTCCTGAGGAGAGGCTGATGGACTCAAACTGCTGACCTTGTGGATCGCACACAATCTAGTGCTTACCTTATTGAGCCACTGCAGGCTCCGTATCCCAAAGTTAGGAGGATAAAATATCATTTATCATGGTGGACATGCATGGAAGGGGAAATCAATTTGTCCTGCATTGGAGCCCAGTTTGACTGCAACCCCTACAGGGATCTTCCTCCACAGGGGCCCATCCCCACAGGGACCCATCCCCATAGGGCCCCTTCCTGACTGGAGACCATTCCCATAGTGTGCCTTCTGATATTCATGACAAAGTCTTTTTAGCAGGTGGACCTCAGCTTCCTTCCCTGTGAAATGGGGAGGATCATACCAGCCTCATCACGAGTCAGATGTGGCCTCATATGTAATGTGCCTGGTGCAAAACTAGCTAGGAGAGAAATATGTATTATCTTGGGGTGCTTTCTGAATGTTAGAAGTTATTCTAAGCTACATGTGTACACACACACACACACACACACAATTTTGTGTTATTCTCTTAATAGTTAATAAAAATCAATAAGGGAACTGTTACTTTAAGGACTCCTTGTGGGGTATTGTAGGGTAAACACTGGACTACTAACCACTGGGTTGGCAGTTCAATCCCACCTGCTGCTCCTCAGAAATCCTGTACAGGGTCCCTATGAGTTGGAACCGATTCAGCGGCATTTAACAATAACCACAACATCTTAAATCTAAATAATAGAGCTGAGGAAACTCAGGCACAGAGTGGTAAAGTAACTTACCCAGGGCACCCAGCTAGTAAGCATTCGACCCCAGATGTAGAACCCAGGCAATATAGCTCCAGAACTTTCCACCTTAGCAGGAACAAGGGGCACGCTGTCTTGGACTTTCACAGACTTAGGCTCTCTACCTGAAGCTCAGTTGTTAACTCATAGTGTGACTGAATTGAGTCACATCTCTTGCCTTAGACCTATCTTTTCCTCCGTGAGTCTGTAATTGCATTAGCTGTTTTCTGTACCAGTAATTAGATTTTATGATCTTTACAAGAGTAAACAAGTTTTCCCTCTGGCATTAGAACAGATTTGTTAAAAGTGAATTGCACTCAAGAAGCCAAAACTCAAACCAACTTCCATCAAGTTGATTCTGACTCACAGTGACCCTGTAGGTCAGAGTAGAATTGACCCATCTTTGAGGGATTATCTTTCTTCCACAGGATAGGTGGTGGGTTTGAACTGCCGACATTTTGGCTTGCAGTTTAGCACTTAACTATGATGCCACCAGGACTGCTTCATGAAGCCATATGTTAGCAACACAGGCTCAGAGCTACCACTCTTGTTGTTGTTGTTGTTAAGTGCCGTCGAGTCGATTCAGACCCATAGTGACCATGTATAGGGTTTCCAAGAAGCACCACTCTAGGTGGGTTCAAATGCCTGCTCTAGCTTCTACTAGTTTACTTGGGCTAAGGCCTTTGGAGGATTTTCATTAAACTGTGGAGACTTCAGTTGCCTCATGTGTAAAGTGGGGACAACAATATTGGGGCTCACCTTACAAGGCTCTGCTATTTTTAGTCATGGTGAAATTGGTGTAAACTCATGACAACCTCATGTACATGCCATCTTCAAATGTCAGCAGGGTCCAAATCCTTGTTGGTTTGCTCAAGTCTTTGTTGTAGCCACTGTGAATGTTGAGAACATTTCAATCTAGGGGGCTCTATCTGACAATATTCTCATGTGATCTATAGGGTTTGCTGAGTTTTGGAACTAGAGCATTAGGCCTTTTTACCTAGTCTCTTTTAGTCTGCAAGTTCCACTGTTGATATTTGAACATAGCTTCTAGTATCGTAGTACAAGTCACCACCGTACAGCAAACTGAGTTCTAGAGAAGATGAAATGAACCCCCAACACATAGCTGTCAGCTCTTTAATTACATTTCAGACAGATGATAAGTACTGGTTATCAGAAATAGAGTATAATTTGATCCTGAAGTTAAATAATCATTTTCCTTGGTGAAAATAGAAAATACAGAATGTATTTTATATGTAATGTTCACATTATTTTTAGCTGTATTGACTAAATACTCTTTAGTATATGAGATATGTATATAAGATGTATGAGACATGCATGGAGGAAATGAAGGGGTCCAACATGTCGGAAGGACTTGCTCTGGGCTGGGGATAGGGCTATGTAGACACTGCTATATCAAGTGATCTTCCCAACAGCCCAGCCAGATGGCTATTAGTGCACCCATCTCATGGATAGAAAGACTGAGACTCATGACAGGCTGCCTTGCACAAGTTTCACAGACAGAATGAAAGAGCTAGGTTGGAACCCTGGTATATCTGATACCCTAACTTTTTTCTCTGCATAGTGGTGACTTCAATAATGAGAATTTTCCCACCCAAGGAACACTTATTCAGACTCTCCATCCTTTAGTATGACCATCACCAGTTTGACTCTTCTTTGAACTCTCCCCTGAGCAGACTCTTGACATGCCTTGAGGGCAATTCCTAGAGAGGACACCACAGTATCCAGTGCTGTATCCTTGCTGGGTACTGGAAAGGCTATAAGCCCAGGTTTGTGGTTGTTCTCCTCTCCTCTTCTCTCTACCACTCCATGTATCCTCCACACTGAACTTGAGAGAGCTTCCAAGAGTCATGTCCAGTTCCCTTTCTGGTAGAAACACCTATTCAGTCCCTCATCCTCACAGTAGAAACACCTATTCAGTCCCTCATCCTCACAGTATACAATCCTCAAGTTTGTATCTGGATGTTCCTGGCCCTCGGCCTTCCACTTAGACTTTGTATTTTGCACACAAACATCGCAGATTTACCTAGAGCAGTGGTTCTCAATCAGACTTTGTCTCCAGGGGACATTTGGAAATGTTTGGAGACATTTTTGGTTGTCACAATTAGGAGTGAGGAAAACTAGTATCTAGTGAGTAGAGGCTAGAGAAGCTACCAAACA